GCAGCTACAGGCCCCGTTGCAGCTACAGGCCCCGTTGCAGCTACAGGTCCCGTTGCAGCTACAGGCCCCGTTGCAGCTACAGGCCCCGTTGCAGCTACAGGCCCCGTTGCAGCTACAGGTCCTGTTGCAGCCTCAGACTGATGATGAAGGATAAAATTTAAAGATGGTCATCCAAAGAGTAGATCAAATACTGATCTTCACAACTTAGAAAAGTCAGAAATCATACTATGAGCTAATTACTTGCTTATACTAATTTGATTGACTCAATACATATGAATATTAATAAATATAAATAAAAATACATATTTATATTCAAGTCAGGTTGGTGTTTTCACGTGGTCGGCTAAAGGTACAACAGTTGGGAACATTATTCCCTTCTTTTGTTCATGAGATCAAAATATCAAAACCACCTGATGAATTTTAATGAAACTCTCCAGATGTGCAACTGATGAGCAGCTGGTGTCAGACCAGTTCAAGATGGCTGCCACAGCACGTCAAGGTGCTACAATCCAGTTTTACGGAGTCAAATGTGTGACTAAAGGACCGATGATGCCTCACGTTCAAATCAAACAGCTTTAACTGGTTTCTCATCACATGATCTCAGACCAGAACTGTGCTGTGCAAGGCAGCAGGCCACGTGCACGCCTTCCTTTCAACAAGACGTCTTTCAGTTAAATATCAGGAGTGGTTTCAAACTTTTGCACACTGCTGTAGCTACAGAAGTTATTCTGAGCGGTCATAATGTGACAATACGTGAGCTCTATGTGCACGTGTGAGATTTTACAGACAGCAACACAGAAGAAGCCGATGGACTGGCCAGGTCTGATGTTCAGACTGGGGCAGGAAGTGGGAAACACCAGCAGAGCTTAAAGTGCATGAAGGCAGATTTCTGGTGTTCCTACCAGAACGCACGTGAACTACGACCCTTTTGGCTTTTGATCGTCACCTGCCAGCAGCTGCTCAATTATTAAAAAATTAAACCAGTGAACCCATCAAATGTTTTCAGTGTTCATTCCCTGCATTAAACATTCTTTTTGTGGATCTTTCCTGCTGCACATAAAAATAAAACGTACGGTAGTTAGTGGTCGTAAAGCTACGGAAGAGGATTAGGGCCACGGTGCAATTTATTTTCCTTTAGTCTGAGATGAAGTCAGAATTATTTTTTCTTCATAATTTTGTCCTTTTTTTCTCTGAATTAAAAATAATAATTTTTTGCACCGTGGCACTAATCCTCTTCCATATCCTTGACATTTTATTCTGATTACTACAGGAAACATTCAAGTGTTCATTTAATTAAGTTTATTATAAGCTAAAAAGAAATAAACCAAAAAAACAAGTTATTTGGAACTCATTATTTAAAGTGGTACTTCAAATATTTAAAGTGGGGTTTGGTGGAAACCAGTCTGTAAAGAAATGTTTGAAGTCTAGTTTGTAGAAAGTTTCACTGAGACTGACCGCTGAGAACAACGAGCTGCCGTCTTCAAACTATTCTCTTCATGAGCTCTGGGTTTGGTTAAAAGTAGCAGCAGCAGCTAGCTGTAGCACAGCCTGCAGGGCCAACATAATGTTTCTGCTGGGATCGACTGAGTTTAGAAGAGTTTTCAGATGCAGACTAGGCTGAGGAGGGCACTGGGATCATTTGATGGGCCTGGATTAGTTCCTCACATTAACAAACCTCGGGAGTGACGACTGGTCCAATGAAACCGTGCTGAACGGCTAACTAGCTGCTTGGCTACAAACACTCAGCTCAGCAACAGTTAAAGGTTTTAGCTACTTTTAATCTACGGTTTGAGTTTCCAAACATTGAGCTTTATTTCTCCAAACTCAGGTCAGTCCATCTACAACAGGTAAGACATTTGTTCCACAGAACCCCACTGTAAAAGCTTGAACTTCTCCTTTAAGATGTTCAGGTGTTAATTTAATAAACGGCTGTACATCACCCCCCCAGAGATTACATCAGTGATCAAATAGTCTTTCTCTAGTTATTCCTCCCGAACACACAGCTCTGAGTGGACAAGAGACAAAGTGTTAAGTCAGCAGAAATTAGGACGATGGCCCCTCGATGCACATCACACGCGCGCCGCAGCTCAACGGTTTACACAAAACAACATTTAACTGAACATCAATCGTACATCATAAAGATTATCTTGATTTAAAAGTATTAGTAGTATGAATATATATATATATATATGATTATTTTCTGTAAATACCTGAGATACAAACCCATCGACTGGTTTCAGTAAGAGCACAACCGACGAGCGTCAAACGTCTGCTTGTGTCAGTTTGTCACTTCGCAGCCGTTCAGAACCTGATTTATTCTTTCAGCTCCGTTTGTCATTTGTAAACATCAACGTGATCCAGTTCAAAGTGTAGGACAAATCTTCGGACGGTCCAGTGCAACAGGAAACGGTCTTTTGTCTGAGCGAGCCGTTGGTCTCGTGCTGTCGGACCGAGTCCCAGCGCAGCAGCACGACTTCGTTCCCGTCAGATCTGGTGCCAGTGTCTCAACTAAACGTCCCGACGTCTTCATTTCAACTGAACAGCTGCTGGAGATGAACCGTCCTCTGCTGGTCCGGATTAAACTTCACATTTTCACACTTTTTAAAAATATATTTTTATTCACCGAATTAGAAATCTGTTGTTTAAAATGTTAAGTTCAAAAAAGAAGAAACAGAGTTGTCTGTGTGTTAGCAGGATTTTACAACCCTCCTCCAGATTATTACTGAACTAAGAAACTCAGCTACAGGTGAAATCAGCTAAATGTGGCTCTTTAAAAGTTTTTACTTCAAACTTCACACGGCCCCGACTAAATACAGCTAAATTAAATTATACTCAACTAAATCTTAGCTCGTCGGTTCTCTTTGGTCACAAACCTCAGAATGAAAACGTGTCGACTGGCTGAAGCAGAGAAGCAGCTGATTCCAGTCAAACCAACGGTTCATCCCCAGCTACTACTGGTCAAACAGGAAGAAGACTGGTATCCATGACTGGTCTGCCCACCAGTACCAACAGGCTGCACATGAGTGGCTCCGCAGCACTCCGATGATCAACTCACTTGTTGTTGACCAGGTATAAAAACATTACATCTGTAAACAGTTCGACAAGAACAGAAAACATGAGTTCGGTCTGGGGGTGGGCGACGGGCTGAACACTTTCCATCGGCGGTCCAACAACCGAGGATCGAGGACATAGTTGCAGATGTGAGTGTTTTTAAGGACGGTGGCGTTCGTTGTTCTCCAAACAGCTGAGGAAGTACCGGGAGGACGTTAGATCTGGGACAAGTTGGATTAGAGAGTTGTGATTTGACGAGCAGCTCTGTGGAGCCGACACCACGTCCTTCAGGGTGGGGTCGGCTCCACTCATGATTATAGACAGAAAACAAGCAGATGTGCTGAGTTAGTGGAGCAGTCTGTTTTCAACTTTAATCATGAACGTGCTGATTGTAAACAGCAGCTGACCCGAGTGGAAAACTACAGAACGCAGCTGGTTCCACATCGACTGGAAGCTACAGAAGATCTGTTGATGGTACGTGAGGCTTGGGTCTGATTTCATGGCCCTTTGTAACCGCGGGGGGAACGCAGCAGTTCCACGCTTCATCTCCAGGTCATGATCTTTGCAGTTCAAATGTAGAGCCATTAAGTGACAGCTGCTCTGAACACAGATCTGCATGAGAAGACCCCTCACTCATTTATCATCTCTGCTCACAGGACAACACCGAACACACCACAGTACAGTGTGGTCAGCTGTGTAACATCTAGGGCATCTTCACCTCGGGGGCGGGGTCCCTATGGTTGCCAGTCTTTACACATTAATGTCTGTGTTGGGTTGTTCTGAGGGGACGGCAGTTACACAAACATGGTGTCACATGTTCAGTGTTGTCCCGTGACAACGTGCAACTACCTGAGTTCTCACTTTGTGACACACCGTACACATTTAGATTTATTATCTTTTCTATCTCATAAAACCACAGCTGGAACTAAATCAGGCTTGTTGCACCTGAACAGGGCGTGTCCACGTCCAGATGTAAAATGTGGGTTTATTTACAGATCTGAATATTTCAAAGGGGAAATTACTTGAAATCATCCTATAAAAAGTTACTGCCAGTGGCCTTCAGGGGTCCATGTTTCGTCCATTCGTCCAACCCCAGTAGAGTCTGAAGGGTGTTTGAGAATAAAGTGACAGCGTGGATCAAAGATCCACCACACGCTCCCAGGACTGAGCAGGTGAACGGTGCCTTCAGGGACTGGTTTCCCTCCGCTCACAGATCCACACGAGCAGAAACGATGACGTCAGACCGACCAGTCACAAGCAGCCGTGACGGCTCGTTTTCTGTCCTTCCATCTGAAATGTGTGTTTAAGACGGCCGGGTGGTGCTTGAAGCCACTCAGGAGGTAGAAGAGGGCGAGCTCTGCGCCGCGTCACACAGGACCTGCTCCAGCACCGTCAGCAGGTGCTTCAGGCCGTACATGTAGCCCTGATCGTAGCCGTCACTTGGAAAAACATGAGCAAAATCAATCATCCTGACCTCCACCTCCAGGTCCTCCGTGTTATCTGGACCTCCACCTCTAGGTCCTTTCATCCCTCCCTCCTCCTCCTCTGTCCTGCTGCTCATCTTCCTCTCTTCTTCTGCATCATTTCCTGTCAGTGATGATTCGTCTCCGTTTTCATTGGGCGATAGTTTCAGAGAGCCGGTGTGTTGACGTGTGTTGTCTTCTTCACAGAGAGCTGAAGCAGGACCTCCTGAAGCCGACGCTGTCCTCACCTGAGCAGACACACTGTTGTTCAGGTGGCACGCCCTCCCACACAGCAGATATCCTTTTCTCCTCTGATTGGTGTAATTAGTGGCCTCCTCGGTGTTGTTGTTGTGCTCGACCGCTTCATTTTCACGATTCAGCCCCTCCTCGTTGGCTCCATGGTCCTGGTCCTGACCACCATCACCCATTAACAGCAGCTTGGTGGTTTTCTTCTTAGTATCGACAACTGATGGGTTATTGAGGAGAGAAGATAGGGAGGATGGGGAGGAAGAGGAGGGGAGGCCCTCATACACAAAGAGAAGAGAGCTGGCATAGAAGGCCAGCTGGTGCTGGGAATTAAACCAGTGGAGAATTTGACGCACTCTGTGTACACTGGCCCAAATGGCGTCCTTCCTCAAATAAGCACCATTGTTGAAAAATGTTGCCAAACCTGGAGAGACGGAGGAGGACAGACAACTTGAGGCTGGACGCACTCGTCCCTTAATGACGTGCGTTAGATTAACAATGATCAGAAAACACTGAAGAATGAAACCTGAATTATTTCACTTTAGAAGAAAATGAGTTTAAGAAAAGACTTCAGCACCAAAAAGTATAAAGTTTTTGATCTTTTGAAGTGGAGTTCTGTAGAAATGTTATGAACAGTTTTTACTGCAAAAATTTGATGATATTACTGCAAGAAATGCTAAAGCTAGCTGCTACTTGTTCTTGTGAATAATCATAACATTCTGCATAGATTAAAGGCCTGGCATTCCTTGAAAGAATGATTTTGCCCACCACCCTTCACTGAGTTACATTACGATCATCTTATGATGAAATGGAACATTAACGTTACTACCCTCTAGTGTTCCTTAGGGGAAAATCAACAAGGGGGATCCCAATATATGTGCACATTTTCAAGGACTCAAGGTTCTTTATTTGTCATGTGGTGCATGTGGTGGAACGAAATTATGTACACAGGGTCCCAGTTACATCCAACAAGAAAATGTAAAAGAAAAACAGTGATAAGATCCATTTCAATTCAATTCAGTTTATTTCTAAAGCTCCAAATCACAACAAAGTTTTCTCAGGGACTTTACAGGAACAGTCACATAAAAGCCAGTTAGTAAAGTTCTCTATCTGAGGAATCCAGCAGACAAGATGAATCTTGGCTTCGTTGCAGTCTCCCATCCTGAGCACGCACAGTTCCAAGATATGAACGTGTCTCATCAATCATGACAGCCTCACATTATCTCGCCTTCAGCATCCCAGGACGAACCTCAACTAGCCCTTCCACCCTGAGAACGGGGGCTTTTAAACTCCCTCAGCAACCTTTGTCAAAGTAATGGATTTGTCTTACAATGAGTCTTCAGACTGTGCCTCCTCATTCGTAGGCATGATGACCCATTTAAGAAAATCACCGAGGTGCTCCTTCCACTGTACAACAATATCCCCAGTCCGAGTCAGATGTTTCCTATCCAAACCAAGCACAAACTGGTACAGGGCTCGCTTTCCTTTTCCAAGTCACAAACAGTTTGCTGGAACCTCCTTGAAGCTAAATGAAATTCCTTGTTCATCGTCTCTCTGAATTTGTTCTACATCACAGTTTTGGCATCCACAACCACAGATGCTGTAGTCCTTCTGGCCATATTATACCATCAGCTGCTTTTGAAGTCCTCTGGAACAGTCACCCTAAAAATATCCTATTTTGGCTTGATGGCCTCCACCAACACTGGTTGCCACCATGACAGACACCAAAACCCTTCAGGCCACAGGCCCTGGAAGGTGCATCTGCAAAAGAGGCTCTGAACATAACCATTAATGTCCCTGAACCCTGGGACATGTCTTTTTTTTTTTTCTTGAAGGTGTAAATTGAAGATCTCTTGGACAGGGAGCTGCAACAGATGTTCCCAGTTTACCCTCACTACTTGTTTGGGTCTGTCTGGTAACCTTCCCAGACATCCCAACCTTCCTGCTTGTCACCAGTTCCAATTCACTACCAAGTGGTGAAAAGCTGACAATGCCCTTTTTATACCAGTGTCCAAAACATCGAACCCAAGTTCCATCGACACAATTGCAAAGTTGATCATCAACATTTGGCCTAAGGTGGCCTGGTACCAAGTACACGTAAGGACTGCTCTGTGCTACATGTTCATTTGGTCAAAATACAATTTTTTTTATCTAATCAAAAGATTGTTAAGACAACTTTCTACAAGATGCAAAATATGTAGGGATGCACGATATTAGATTTTTGGCTGATATTCGATACAGATATTTTAAATATATGTTCCTTTGTCAGAACATAGCATCTTATTTTGGCTTATTTGCTACAAAAGCTGTGCAACAGCTGTAAGATCTGGTGACATATAACAGCCATATGATCTGCACAGCACTTTAACTTTTATTGAATGAAAAGTGTTAAATGTTGTTCATTAACATTAATCACCTGCGATGCTGTCTCACCTGTGGAGGCTTGTTGCAGGTTCCTATAGCTGCAGTGTGGATCCTCTGCACTCTGTGCATGAAGGACAGACTCTTTCAGTTCAAAGTTTTGTGTATCCATGGTGCTGTGAGACTGATCATGCTAACGGGGCTAACACCACGTCCAAATGTCCAAATGGTAAAACTCACCCAAGTGCTATCAGCTGTTAGCTTCCCAGTGACGCCAGAAATGACGGCTTGTAACTCCAGTAAGGTTACGTTAGAAAAATATCTCAGACTGGGGACCATGTAGAGAACGTGGTCCATAAATCTTCAGAATCCAACATCCTCACCAACGAGAAAAGAAACTTCCACACCGCCGACATTTTGAACTTTCCTCTCCGCCGTGAGATCAGGTAGGTGCACGTGACATCATCGTGTTGTGCTGGTGCTGCACGCAAACGCCTTTTATATCGACGAGTTATTTTAATGGAATGGCCGATGTCCGATATTGAACTTTAATGCTAATATCGTCCGATACCGTGCCGATAATATTGTGCATCCCTAAAAATAAGAACTGTTCATAATTTTCTCACAGTACCCCACTTCTGATCTGATCTTTAGTTTTAATGAGCATGTTTAAAATATACACAAGCACAAATGAACATACATACCATCTTTAACCGTGTCCTTAACCAGACTCCTTCCATAGTGTTGGTTATAGGAATCAAAGGTGTCCCTCTGCACATTATATACCTGAAAAAAACAAGAGGAACATCTAATATTTACATAGCTTAGTTTCTGGTGGGTTGCACAGTGATGCCATTGATATAGCACTGGTAAGAAGGTCTTGGGTTGAATTCCCAGCTGGGTCCTTTCTGTGAGTTTGCATGTTCTCACTGTGCATGTGAGGGTTTTCTCCAGATATACTGGTTCCCTCCCACATTCCTAACGCCAATGTGAGATTAATTAGTGACTTTAAATTGACATGAGCCAGTGGTTGTCTGTATGTGTCCCTGTCATATACTGGATCTCTTCAGGGTTTACCCCGCCTCTTGAACAGTGATTGATTGATTGATGGATAGATTTGGGAATAGATTGATGGACATTGTTTATAAAACCAAAATTATTGCCTTACCACAGTACTTAATTTGAGCCGGATCTTGCCGGAACAGAATCCAGGAACTCTCTTATTTTGACAGGGTGTGTTCCGGTAAATGTTTGCTTGGATCCGGTAACTGTCAGACTTACTAATAATAAAATGATGGACAAATATGACCGTCTTGAATGAATAAAACTTATACTGGATATGTAAACTGACAATAATTACATAAACACTCATTTTAAACACAACAGCCACAAGTTACGAGCATACGATCGGCCTCTTCAAATGAAGCATTTCTGCGTCCACCCTTAAAGAAATCTTGAAAGAGCGGTGGGGTGAGTGCTGAGCAGGCAGGCTTGTCGTACGTGAGCAAGAGCCTGGAGGTTTCACATATGTGGAGTCAGACAACAAACGGACAGAGTGGGCTCGCTTTCGAGCCAGACTCACTTGATGGAACTGTCAAAAAAAAAAAGGGGGGGGGGGGCTTAACAGAAGTGGAGTGTTTACAAATGTAGATGAACGTAGAAGTTTAACAACCTGTTAAAATACACCAAAATGCAGGAAACTGCATCTACTTTATTCAAATGTAATGTAAATGTTAAAGTAATTTAATACAAAATCCTATTATAACAAAAGACGGATAAATAAATCATAAATTGTTTCATGCCACGGAACCAGAGGATGAGGAACTTATCCATAAAGTTCCTCTTCCAGTGTCAGAATAAATTTACAAGAAACACATTTAGAAAATAACGACCATGTTTTTATACTGATGCCTCCTCCGTGTGCTCAGATGATAAGAGCCCTCAGGGTATGCTATAGTTGGCAGTTATGGCTGTCATAAAAGTTTAAAAAGCACCTGCATCATTAGTGCAAGTTCTTAAATTGGTTGTTTTAACAAGAGCATGTATGTAAGAGCATGTATGTAAGAGCATGTATGTAAGAGCATGCACAAGAAAAAGCTGTAAACTGATGCAAAATATATGTAGGTCATAATGTCAGTAAAACATGGAGAAATAAAAATCTAGGCTGTTCTGTATAGATTCTTCTTTTTTTTAGAGAATTAAAAAAAATATTAATAAACCCAAAGTACAAAACCAAACATTACATCCATCCTTTAAACCAGTGGTGTCCAAACTTTTTCTGCTTCGATTTACAAGAAAATCTGAAAACCAAGAAAATCTAAATTTGATCTGTTACAGATCTGTTATCTGTTTTGATTTTTCTTTATTTTGTTAAGATACAAAATAAAGAAAAATCCGTAAAACTAAAAAAGGCACAACACTTGGCACGAAATTAAGCTAGTGATAGCAAAACTGTGACACACAAGCTAGCATTAGCTTACTATACATTCAAATAACATATTTCAGCTCAAATAGGCCAGATAACATTCTGTGGTCAAAGAAACAACACACAAGTACATATGTACAATTTATACACGTGAATCAAGTGGTGAAGAGTGGTGGAGGCTGCACAGCTGCACAAAGAAAAGCTCTGCAGAGAGTGGTGAAGGCTGCACAGAAGATGTTGGAGTCAGCCTCCCCACCATCACAGACATCTACACCTCCAGATGCAGGAAGAGGGCCACCTGCATCATGAAGGACCACACTCACCCAGCACACACACTTTTTGCCCCGCTCCCCTCAGGAAGGAGGTTGAGGAGCATTAAGTGTAGAACCACTAGACTGAGGAACAGCTTCTACCCTGAGGCTGTTAGACTCATGAATCTCTAACCAGAATAATCACTGTGAAAAATCACATTGTGTTGCTGCTGATCTGTTTCATGTTGTTGCTGATCTGTTTCAATGTTGCTGCTGATCTGTTTCAATGTTGCTGCTGATCTGTTTCAAGTTGATGTGTTCATGTGTGCTCATCTGCTCACACAGACTCATATTCATGTTCGTGCTGCTGTTCGACGTAATGTTTTTATGTTATGAGTGCTTAGTGTATATTTAGTTGATGTTTTTCTTAGTTCATATCTTAGATGTCATCATTGTTTTTCTTTTACATTTTATTGTTGGATGTAACTGGGACCTCGTGTGCATAATTTCGCGCCACCACATGAGGTGCGAATGACAATAAAGAATCTCTGACTCTGACTCAAGCAAGAAAAATGTATTCTATCAGGACCCAGGTCATCATCTTACCTCCGGTAGGCCAAAGCAGCATCTGGCATGTCTGTGAATGCTCCTGGCTATGTAACCTGCGTGAGCTGCGTTCAAGTGCAGTAGGACATATTCACTGCTCTGCTCAAACAAGTAGCTGCTAATACAAAAGTTAACCGATTCAAATCATGACTGATTTGGTGGAACTTGAAGCATCACTTAGAGTAATATTATTAATCTGTTACATTAGCAGTGCCCCCCCCCCCCCCCAAATCATACTGTGCACCACACACTTGGGGAACCACTGCTTTAAACTAACAGACTAAAGATGCAACATATGAGCCCAACATGTCAACTTACTCTCATGCCGAGGATTAGGAAACCAATCTCCTCCATCAGTGGGTATTTCCTGATCTGCTGCTCTCGTTTCTCCTGTGAGGCAAATGGGTCGTAGCTCCTCTGGCCCAGCTTCACATCCATGATGCAAGGCCTGACAAATCGACTCGTTACGTCCTCCAGCTTCAGGTAAAGGTCTGCATCAGTGACAGAGAAGAGTCATGACTTGAATCACACACTTCTCTGCTGTTCACAACTGTCTGACTCCCACTGAGATGTGTCTTCCTGCTCACGACACAAGTTAAACTCTACAGAAAGTAGCTCAAGAAGTTCATCAAAAAAAACTCAGAATCATCACGGTTACTTCAACAAAAATTAATGTGGATTGTTAAACATGAGAGCTCTCTGTACGCAACTGATTTAACAACTTATCATCGTGTTGGTTTATTTTGTCTCTCAGAAACCTTGTTGCTTACAGAGTAGCTCTGACACAAATTATGTTTAATCTCCATAATGATTTTGGCGCATATGTGCTCTTGGCACCAGGACACCCTAGGCCGCAGTTCGATGATCGACTTTGTTGTCGTCTCATCTGAGCTGCGGCCGCATGTCTTGGACACTTGGGTGAAGAGAGGGAAGGAGCTGTCCACTGACTACTAACTGGTGGGGAGTCGGCTCCAATGGTGGTGGAGGATGCCAGTCAGATCTGGCAAGTCCAAACGTATTGTGAGGGTCTGCTGGGAACGTCTGGCAGAGTCTCCCGTGAGACGGCGCTTTAACTCCCACCTTGAGCTTGAAACACGTTCCGGGGGAGGTGGGGGACATTGAGTCTGAGTGAGCTATGTTCCTCTATTGTCGAGGCGGCTTATCAGAGTTGTGACCGCAAGGTTGTTTGTGCCTGTCACGGTGGCAACCCTCAAACCCGGTGGTGGACACCGGCAGTGAGGGATGCCATCAGGCTGAAGAAGGAGTCCTATCGAGCCTTTTTGACCTGTGGAACCCCAGAAGTACCGGCAGTCCAAGCAGCATGCAGTTCGGGTGGTCGCTGAGGCAAAAACTCGGGGGTGGGAGGAGTTCGGAGAGGCCATGGAGAATGACTTCCATACGGCTTCGAGGCGATTCTGGTCCACCATCTGGCGTCTCAGGGGGGCGGGGGGGTGAAGCGGTACATCACCAACACTGTTTATAGTGGGGGTGGTGTGCTGCTGACCTCAACTCGGGATGTCGTGGGTCAGTGGGCAGAGTACTTCGAAGACCTACTCAATCCCACCGGCACGTCTTCCACTGAGGAAGCAGAGCCTGGGGACTTTGGGTCGGGCTCTCCAATCTCTGGTGCTGAGGTCACTGAGGTGGTTAAAAAGCTCCTCGGTGGCAGGGCCCTGGGGGTGGATGAGATTCGCTCGAAGTTCCTTAAGGCTCTGGATGTCCAGGGGGTTGTGTTGGCTTACACGACTACAATATTGCATGGACATCGGGGTCAGTTCCCCTGGATTGGCAAACCAGGGTGGTGATCCCCCTATTCAAAAAGGGGGGCCGTAGAGTGTGTTCCAACTACAGGGGGATCGCACTCTTAAGCCTCCCATGTAAGGTCTATTCAGGGGTTCTGGAGAGGAGGGTCCATCAGACAGTGGAACCTCGGATTCAGGGGGAGCAGTGTGGTTTTCATCCTAGTCGTGGAACACTGGACCAGCTCCACAACCTCAGCAGGGTCCTGGAGGGTGCGTGGGAGTTTGCCAAACCAGTCTACATGTGCTTTGTGCACTTGGAGAAGGCGTTCAACCACGTCCCTCGGGGAACCCTGTGGGAAGTACTCCGGGAGTAGGCATAGGGTACCAAAGGGTACCAGGCCCTTTGATACGGGCTGTTAGGTCCCTGTACGACTGGTGTCAGAGCTTGGTCCGCATTGCCCGGCAGTAAGTCGGGCTCATTCCCGGTGAGAGTTGGACTCCGCCAAGGTTGCTTTTTGTCACCAATTCTGTTCATAACTTATATGGACAGAATTTCTAGGCAGAGCCAAGGTGTTGAGGGGATCCGTTTTGGTGGCCTTAGGATCACGTCTCTGTTTTTTGCAGATGATGTGGTCCTAGTGGCTTTATCAGGTCGTGATCTACAGTTTTCACTGGAACAATTTGCAACAGAGTGTGACGCGGGCGGGAAGAGGATCAGTTCCTCCAAATCTGAGGCCATGGTCTCGAGCCGGAAATGGGTAGAGCGCCCTCTCTGGGTCGGAGAGGAGGTCCTGCCCCAAGTGAAGGAGTTTAAGTATCTTGGGGGTCTTGCTTACGAATGAGAGAAAAATGAAGCGAGAGATTGATAGGCAGATAGATGCAGCGTCTGCAGTGAAGCAGGCGCTATACCGGTCTGTTGTGGTGAAGAGAGAGCTGAGTCAAAAGGCGAAGCTCTCAATTTACCGGTCGATCTACGTTCCTACCCTCATCTATGGTCATGAGCTTTGGGTGGTGACCGAAAGAACGAGATCTCAGATACAAGCGGCCGAAATGAGTTTTCTCCACAGGGTGCCTGGGCTCTCCCTTAGAGATATGGTGAGAAGTTTGATCATCCGGGAGGGACTCAGAGTAGAGTCGCTGCTTCTCCACGTCGAGAGAAGCCAGTTGAGGTGGCTCGGGCATCTGTTTAGGATGCCTCCTGGACGCCTCCCTGGTGAGGTGTTCCGGACACGTCCCATGGGAGGAGACCCAGAGGAAGACCCAGGACACGCTGGAGGGACTATGTTTCTCGGCTGGCCTGAGAATGCTTTGGGATTCCCCCGGAGGAGCTGGACCAAGTGGCTGGGGAGAGGGAAGTCTGGGCCTCCTTACTTAGGCTGCTACCCCCGCGACCTGACCCCGGATAAGAGGAAGAAAATGGATGGATGGATGGATGGATGCTTTTGTAAAGCACAGCTGCAGAATTGCTGTTTTATGTGATAATTCTGTATTTTCGACTCGGTTTTGAAGTTAATGCAGTACAACCTTTTTCTTTTCATTCAAATAATAATAATAATAATAATAATAATAATAATAAAAATAATAATCTTGACCAGTAAGTTTTGTTTTTGTCTCATATTTATGCAAATATTTTTTTTAACTAAAACTCTTGAATTTACTTTGTGTATTTTGAGACATTAAGTGTTCATCAGCTTTATAAAAAATGCTGATTGTTATTCTGTATTTTCACGTTTTTCCTCTCATGGTCATTATATTTTTATAAATCAAATGATCTGAAAATGCAAACTTAAGAGTTTCATGAGTTTTACAACAAAACACTGAGGTCCTTGTAGACTGACATTAAATACTGTTACAGAGCAGAGTTTCTGATTCATTTCAAATATTAGGGTTAAAAACGTTTCTGTGCTCCAGATTTAAGAGATTTTCATTTCAAGATCAGATGTACTAACTTTACTCCAACAGTACGAAGGAGCTTTCAGAAATGAAGCGAGCCTCGCAGAACACAACGTAATAAACGTGCAACTAACATCTAACATATCAGTTTCAAAATGACACGACAAATTGAGTTTAGCAACTCTCTTTGTGGATAACTTTTTGTTTTTTTGTATTAAATGCAAGGTTGCTGTGCATCAACACTGATCTTCCCTTGAAAAAAAAAATATATATATACATTTTTTTCTACTTCTGACCGTTCTCTTCTTCATGGGTCACCACAGTGAACTAACTTGTGCGAAGACTTGGTGATTGTTTTTCTGCTGGATGTCCTTCCTGATGCAACCACAGACCACCGAGCTACCACAGCCTCTGTGTGGAGCAGAGAGCTGCCATCTTTTTGCAGATGGTGGGGTTAAGGGCCTTGCTCAAAGGCCCAGGGTGGGGCAAATGAGGGTGGAGACAGGTGTGGGTGCTTCACCTTTCCCACCCACATTTTGCTGTTGTCGGTACGTGGAGTTGAACCGGCAACCTTCCGATCACAGGCCCACATTCTCTAACCTCTGTGCCACCACTCCCCATAATCCCTTGAAAATAACCGTTGTTTAATTCTGCAAATAGCTGGTTACACAAATCAAATGTCGTCACTTCATCACGCGGAGCCGTGGAAGCAGCTTAACCTTTTCACATGGCGAACGTTTCGCTCCGTTCGTGACACAAAGGCAAATTACAGGTGGGTTCACGTCAACCCCCTCACCGCCTCGGTCCATTCAGAGCTCACACGGAGGCAGCTAAGGGTGTCTAAGCCCTGGCCTGAGGCGTCTTGTAAAAGAGCCTCTCACCACTAAGGCTGAACCCGTATATGAAGGTAGATTATTTCAGCTGCTTGTATCTGGAGTTTTATGTTTCGGTCATGAAATAAGGTTTGGAGCATGAACAGACTAGTAATCCCAGAGCTTCGCCTTTCAGCTCAGCAGACTGGAGCAACACCCTCTTTATTGGGTTAATGATACTGTGGTGAATGTGTTAAAAAATTAAATAAATAAAAATTACACTGACTTGCAGACAAAAGATAAAAGATAGACTTGTACAATAAAGTCCATGCTCAATAATCCAGGTATAAAATCCAACATTTTTCAGTCAGGTCTGGTTTGTTCCACTTTGGAGTAAGCTGTTGGAGGAAGGATCAGTTTTGTTGTGTGTTTCCTTGACTGATGAAGCCTTCTGGATGGAAGGTGAAACGTTTCAGCACAAAAAAAGAAAGTGTCCAGATGACCTGACTGAAAAATGTTGGATGGACTTGTACAGTCTATTAAAAAAAAGTCAAAATAAAAGTATTACTTTTTCACATTGTTCTAGTTTTCCTAATCAAGTCTCATCTAGATTCCTTGTGTCAAGTCTGTTTTCCACAACGATATGTATGAAATGACAACGCAGATACATCAAGTTTTTTGTAAAATTACTGTTTAAATCCCTGGTACTACTAATTCTACGTTGTAATACAGAAAATGGGAGGGGCTTTTTACAAACTAATTTTATCCCTGCGAGACAAAGCAGGACAAAGACAGTTTGGCTCTCTTACCTTTAGGGCTGTCAGGTGAAGACCAGGTGCCGTAATATTTGGGAATATGGTTTTGAAGGTCTAGAAGACACGGATCAGAGCAGTCCTCTGCAAACACCTACAATACACACACAACAAACACTATCAGAGGTACATCTCAACTTCATGCATCAATGTGCTTCTTTGTGGCTCCAATCCAAACCTTATCTGAATTAATATGTCAATATCATTTTACTCCAAGAACTATTGTACTTAAACTTTATTAGACATGCACTGATTAATGGTGGCTGTTGACTGGAACCAGCCAGTTTCAGCATGGCCAGTGACTGACCAGTTCAACACTCCAAAATCCTTTTTTTATTCTCAGTCAGTGAAGAAGCCATAGCTAAGCTGCTGAACATTTTTCAGTAGAGCCGAGTGCAGCACAGCAACGTCTCTTTCTTAGGGGTGGGCAGTGATTTCCAAATATTTAAGTCTAAGTGAAGTGGATGAATTTCAAGCATGAATGCCGCCACAATCTTTTTTTTTTCTTGGTGGTGCTTTTCTCAATCAGGGGACTGTTTTTGACACAACACATACTGCCCATTTACTTAATTAGTAAATGGTAAATGCCCTGTATTCACAGTGCCTTGTGAAAGTATTCGGCCCCCTTGAACTTTTCAACCTTTTGCCACAATTCAGGCTTCAAACATAAAGATATAAAATTTTAATTTTTTGTGAATCAAGAAAAAGTGGGACACAATCATGAAGTGGAATGAAATTTATTGGATGTGTCAAACTTTTTTAACAAATAAAAAACTGAAAAGTGGGGCGTGCAATATTATTGGGCCCCCTTGCGTTAATACTTTGTAGCTCCGCCTCTTGCTGCAGTTCCAGCTGCAAGTCTCTTGGGGTTTGTCTCTATCAGGTTTGTAAAATCAAGCTTCTTCCAACTGAGGCGACTGTCTAAACTGAAGCCCATATTGTCCAAAAATAACCTGGAGACAGTAATACATGCATTCATTACATCTAGGCTTGATTACTGCAATTCACTCCTGTTTGGTATCAGTCAGACCTCCATTGCACGACTACAACTGGTCCAGAATACAGCAGCCCGATTTTTAACCAGTACAGGCAAAAGAGAGCACATTACACCAGTTTTGGCCTCACTGCACTGGTTACCGGTTCACTTTCGAATCCAGTTCAAAATACTCATGTATGTCTACAAATCGCTGAACAGTGATCTTCTCCTTGGTCCAGATGAAAGTTTAGAGGGACGGCCGGGTCTTGGTAGATTTGCAGTGGTCTCATACTCCTTCCATTTCAAGATGATTGCTTGCACAGTGCTCCTTGGGATGTTTAAAGCTTGGGAAATCTTTTTGTATCCAAATCCGGCTTTAAACTTCTCCACAACAGTATCTCGGACCTGCCTGGTGTGTTCCTTGGTCTTCATGATGCTCTCTGCTCTTTGAACAGAACCCTGAGACTATCACAGAGCAGGTGCATTTATACGGAGACTTGATTACACACAGGTGGATTCTATTTATCATCATCAGTCATTTGGGACACCATTGGATCATTCATAGATCCTCACTGAACTTCTGGAGTGAGTTTGCTGCACTGAAAGTAAAGGGGCCCAATAATATTGCACGCCCCACTTTTCAGTTTTTATTTGTTAAAAAAGTTTGACACATCCAATAAATTTCATTCCACTTCACGATTGTGTCCCACTTGTTGATTCTTCACAAAAAATTAAAATTTTATATATTTATGTTTGAAGCCTGAAATGTGGCAAAAGGTTAAAAAGTTCAAGGGGGCTGAATACTTTCGCAAGGCACTGTATACATCATCTCTTTTCTATCTTATCCGGATACTTAAAGCTCTTTACACTACAATCTGTGCCTCATTTACTCATTCATACAGCACTCTACTAGATCTCTAAAAAAAATAATCAGAGCTTTGTCACATTCATACACCGATGGGACACACATCAGAGGCTATGAGGGGTTCAGTGTCTTGCCCAGGGACACTCCAACATGTGACTGCTGGTGGAATCAAACACCCAACTCTTGTATTGGAAGACAACTGCTCTAACCACTCAGCCACAGCTGCCCCGTAGAAGAAATAGCAGAAATGTGCATTTTAAATCAAAACATTTTTCCAGTTTGTCTGGCAACAGTTCAGTTTTTCTTTAAATAGTTTCCATTTTATAATCCTTTCAAAACAAACTATGAAGGCAGAAAGATGCAGCGATGCTCAGTGTTATTGTTTTCGTTTGGTTTGTCCCCAGAAGGAGAGTAAGGTGGCAAGTGTTTGGTGTTAAAATAGAGCATCTAGACAAACATAAAATCAATAAATAAAAACGTTGGTTACGTACTGTAACCCCAGATTCTATGAGTATAGGTGTAGCCCTTTAAGGCTGTCGCTTAGTGGGTTTATCTCGTTATGCGAAGCATTGCACTGAAAAATTTAGTCCACGCCCACCTGCTGTGTGGGCCCCACCCGGTCCGTATAAATTACGTTAAGAGCGGGAAATCGGCTCCCAAATAGCTTTTTCTTCAGCCATTTAGGAGCCAGTGAGGCCCGACACTTAAAGGGCTACGCCTATACTCAGAATCTGGGGTTACAGTGCGTAACCAACGTTCTATTTCGTATAGGCTTCGCCCTTTAAGAGCTGTCGCTTAGTGGGTTAAGGGCAAAGCGGATGTTGTCCTAGCCTCACTGGGTCCATTCGAACACCGTATGAAGCAGAAGCTTGCCCAAAAAACGTCTTGTCACTCAGCTCCCCATGTGCGTAATTACGCATTGCGTAATTATGTGTGCCATGCACAGACGCATGTTGTGTAACTATGCGTTCTGAATGCATGAACGCCCCGGAAAACTTCAATGGGGAGGGGAAAAAAACTGAAAAGAGCCATGAACCAACCGGTTTACGGCTGAACCGTATGAACAGATTAATAATAACAGGAGAGCTGATTATTAATCAAATGAATTGATTAGTAACAATAGTCGTGAACTGATTAGTGACAATAGAACCAAAATAACAGACACAACTTGTGACTGATAACATCTCACACTGTAATGCATGCAGACAGATGTGAGTAAAACAGAGTTCCATGAAAAAACAATATTCATTCTGTAAAACACTAAAGACAGAATGTGTCATGGAACGAGCCGTCACATCACCTAGATAAAAGCGAACAAATGAGCAGGGTGTTGACCACGCGGCCGCAGTGCAAAAGTCCTGCATTGACATACCATTATGCAAAGCAGTCGAATATGCGATACCCCTGGTCGAGTGTGCTCTGAGGTTGACAGGAGGCTCTAAATCTGAAGCTCTGTAGGCTTCAGAAATGGCCTCACACAGCCAGTGTGACAAGCGCTGGGTGGATAACGGGCGACCTGCAGATGCATCTCTATAATGCACAAACAAATGTTGACGCATTGCAGCTGTGCATGCTATGTAACACGTCAACGCCCGCACAGGACAGAGGAGATGAAAAGACGCTACTTCTTCTGATCTGTGTGTGAAGGGGGGGACCCCTCCAACGAGATCGCTCTTGATTTAAAAGAGCTCGTGATGTTTTAGGCATAAAATCTGGGTTTGATCTTAAATCAGCTGAGCTGCCGTCAGCCTGAATTCTAAGACATGACAGAGCGACAGAGAGGGCAGATAAATCACTCACTCTCTTAGCGGATGTTAAAGCCAGCAGCAGGGCTGTTTTAAGAGACAAGAGTTTAAGTGGAACCTGATCCAGAGGCTCAAATGGAGCTTTGATCAGGACCTGCAGGACCAGTATTAAATCCCACTGTGGAACAAGTGGGTGTGAAACAGGCCTGCGTCTCTGTACACCTTTTAGAAAAACGCTTAATCAGCGGATGATTAAAACCTGTTTTGTCTCCGAAACCTTCGTGGCAGGAAGAGATGGCTGCAGCGTACGTTTTAATCGTGCTGGACGCCAAATTTCTGTCCATCGGCTGCTGCAGAAAGGACAGCATGCCATGTAATGGGCATGAGGAGGCCTCTACACCCTTCTCTGTACACCAGCGCTGAAAAGCTGTCCGCTTTGATGTGTACATCGCTGTGGTAGATGCAGCACATGAAAACAGAATTGTGCGCACTACATCCTGTGGAAGACCCATTCACTCCAAGCGGATCCGTTCAGCGGCCAGACCCACAGGTGCTGGCCTATTTCTGGGTAACTCCTGGTCGCTCCTTCTGCCTGGAGGAGAGCATCCTCCCTCCACAACAGTTTCCACGGGCGCCTCGACAGCAGGCGTTGCAGGACTGGGAACCATGGTGCGCTCACGCGTTCGGGGCCACCAGGAGAGCCGTCAATCCCTCCTCCTGAACTCGGTTCAAGAACTGTAAAATCAGAGGAGGTGGAGAAAAAAACGCATACAGAAGAATTTTGGGCCATGGGCTGTGGGCAAACGCATCCACCCCGAGCGGTGGTTCGTCTCGTGAGCTCAAAGAAACGCATAATTGACACAGAGCATTTTCTCGTGTCACAAACAGGCCCACAGCTGCTATTTCAATCTGAGTCAAAATGCTCCGTCAGAGGATGATTAAATGTTGTTCTGTCTCCGACCACTTTGAGACAAGAAGAAAACATGGCTGCAGCATACGATAATCGTGCTGGACACCAGATTTCTGTCCATCGACTGCTGCAGAAAAGGACAGCATGTCGTCCAGTGGACATGAAGTGGCCTCTACGCCTTTCTCTGTACAGCAGCGTTGAAAAAACTGACCACTTGATGTGAACAGCGCTGTGGTGGTTGCATCATGTGAATCCTGAATCGTACGCACTACATCTTGAGAGAAATCCATCTCCTCAAAAAGATCCGCACAGCGGCCAGACCACAGGTGCTGGCCTATTCTGATTAACTCCTGATCGTTCCTCCCGCCTGGAGGAGAACGTCCTCCCTCCACGGCAGGTTCCACGAGCGCCCTGATAACAATTGTCGTAGGCCTGGGAACCATGATGCGTTCACGCACTTGGGGCAGAGGAGCTGCCAGTCCCTCCTCCTGAGCTCGGTTCAGAAAACCGTGATATCAGAGGGAGAGAAGAAGGTGAAAAAGCATTACGACCACAGGCTGTGAGCAGGCACGTCCAACCAGTGGTGGATCGTCCCGTG